ACCTGGGACTTCAAGGTCGGAAGGACGCTCTCTGACAGTCTCATCCAACCGCTCTCTGGACAGTAGCGTAGCGTGGGTGTCATCCACCCAGGGCGGAGGAAAATTTCGCCGTCCCCTTATTTAGGTATCTCAATTTAAAAGACTAAAATTCAGTTTCGTCACAGAATAAGTAATGAAAAATTCCGTCTCATTTCAATCGGTCCGAATCGTAGGTGCTCGAAAGTGTGAAATAAAATGGTTCAAATTCTTACAAGATATTATTATTATTTGTGAAATTTTGCCGCCCCCTAAAACGCAATTTTTTCGCCCCTAAAAAGTGCCGCCCGGGGCAGACCGCCCCCGCCGCCCCCTATGCTACGCTACTGTCTCTGGATATAACTTAGTTCCGTGTGTTAGTGTGAGGAATTTGTGCCGCCTGGAACGCCGCAGCAAATCTCATCCCGTCGGCATCGCCCAAGGACTTAGACTAGCACGCCACGGGCCTCTACAGACGAATGACCGAGGAAGTAGAACTATAAACCTGATGTAAGCTATGAATGTTTCCAAAATAAACGCTTTAAAATTGTAAAACACTTGACTTCATTTGCCTCTTTCGCCACAGTCCTCATACGTGGTTTCTCTCCCCCTGGACTCATCCTGATGCCAGAGATTGACTGAACCCCTTCCTGTTTGTCGGCAATCTTGCCGGCAAACAACACACGATGGTGGCAGCGAAGTGGAACCTTGAATCCTAAATCCCCAACAGATCGGCTATCTTACACTTCTACACTGGGTTTTTCTTCAATAATTTGAATTTCTTGAATATTTATATCATTAGGAAGATGCAAAGAGAGCCAAATATCGGTCCTATTCAATTTTGAACGAATTCATGTATGCAGTTTGTGTGAAGCTCCGGAAGTAGGTCGAAATTCGCGCAAGATAATGTTTTAATTTCGTATAAAAAAAGTTTAATTATAATAATATATATTGTAAAAATAAACCGTCTAACGCAGAATGAATATTTAATGTCCATATATAGTCATATCTGTAGAAATTTCTGAGAAAAAACGAATTTCTCAGAAAGAAACAATAGATGAATTTGTGTACTTAGATCGAACATCTTCGATAGGAATCAAATTGTCAGTCGGGGGGCTCACCCCGCGATCTGGGCTCCGATCCCGTTACAATTCGTAACGAGGAGGGGAGACCAATTAGAGAACGGGGGCAGATCGACATAGCCCTATCGGAATGTTCGATCTGGGATTCAGAAAAACTTATAAAAATTGCGCAAAAATAGGATGTGACGTTCTTGGTTCTAAGTTCGGTGTGCTCCGCTTCTGGATTTTTCTTGCGGTTCAATAACTGGAACTTGGTCGTCGTCCCGAAAGAAGTTTTCGCCATCCTGTCCCAGCAAGTTTCGCCAAGGGTAATCTACTGCGAGAATCACCCCTTCAAGTTGTGATGTGCACCCCGGAGCCTACGTTTTCCTCATCATCTTCGCCAAAAGAAGATCGTAAAAAAAGATTGAACTTTGTTTATGAACTGATTCACTCTGTGGATAGGCCTTACGCCGAAGAAAACAGTAGTTGTAAGCGAAATTTTTATATTTAATAAATAGTTTGCGATGGAAGACCTGTCTCAGTAAGTTTTTCCACTCCCACACGACAGTGCTGACCGCTCGACTGTCGCGACACTTTCTCCCCAATCGGCAAACCTCGCATTTGTTTCTGAAAAAGTTAATATTTCAATATTGACCAAATTATCCAACATAATCGTGCAATCGCATGTTTTATCATATACAGATCGTTCATTAATCTGTCCACTATTACAGTGTCCTCAGCGAGAGTGAATCGATAGTTCGTATAAGCGAAATTTATTTCTTTGATGGAAGCCGCCATGTTAGTTTGTTGAATACTCAACGGTGAACCAACGCTGACGTTACGGGCTTCAACAGACTACTCAACAGTCCATTTAGAAACGTCGTTTTCTCACTGTTGAGCCAATCGTTGAATATAGAAACGTATCCAATGTATATGTATGCACGTTTTGTCGTGACGTCGTAAATCTGTCCGAAATGACCTTAAAACGTTTTACAAATATTTTATTCACATGACTAAGGCTGCGTACACACTAGGCGTTTTAAAGAACCAAGAGTTCTATATAGGCGTACACACTCAAACGCGCGCTTTTGGCCAAGCGCGCGTTAAGCGCGCGTTTATAGAGTTTTGTTAAAACGCGCGTTTTGCGGGCGCTTTACGGGCGCTTTGAGATATATGTGCTGCCATGTTACTGTACATTCGATCGCGCGTTTTGCGGGCGTCACACAGTGGGACCAAGTCCCAAAAAGCTGGCCAAAAGTCAAAAAATAGAGTTTAAGTTCCGGTAATTTCTAGTCGTGGGTTAGGTCGGACAAGACTTCGAAGGTCAAATTCTAGACTTTAGCGCCCCCTATCCCTTATACCTGCTATTGTAATTCAGTTGAAAGGGGATCCTCAATCGAGCTAGACGCGTCATGCAGTAAGCAAAGATTTCTACGCTATATTCAAGAGGGTGCCAAATCTCTAAAAATCAATAGAATTTAAATTTTAAAAATGGAATCTGCAGCTGCAAGTAAGTAGAATACCATTATGTAACACAAAATTGATAATAATATTTAATGTGATAACAGTAAACGAATGATTTGTACGAAAATGAACGGAAGATTACAACAGAAAATTTTAAACACAGAGAAAAGTTCATAAATTCTGTAGAGTTCTGCGACTGAACCGATCGCGTGTCGTAGATGGAACTATTACTGAATGAAAAAAATTAAAACTAGCTGCAACTAGCTGCAATTGTGTCATTGGTGCTAGTTCTTGCAATGTAAAACACAGTTTTCTGAATTTTGTACATTAACGACGCGGAATGTTTTGCTCTTTTTCTTGAATTTGTCTGTGTTTTGAATGTTGTTTGCATGTAGCATATAAGCTTGATATCAAACTGTGGCAAGCGGATCACTATCCGCTTGCCACAGTTTGGTTAAGGAAATAAATAAATAAGACTCTGAAAAACGAATATACAGAAGGGTTTCCGCATAGAATTGGGTCTAATAGTCGATCAACCAAAGCCTGGTTTCGGTAGCTAGAATGATAGGAATACCGCTCGACGAGTTTTCGAAAACTCAAGCATTTCTGCTGCTATTACAGGGGTTGATGAGGACTTGATTAAGCGTTTCCGTGTCATATTGCAGACAATTTCGTGTGGCCATGAAATCGATTTTTTATGGAATTTCAAGATTATGCTTTACAGATAGCTCATTACTTTGTGCAGTTATATCCGTGGTTCTGCGTGACAACTTCGGTACATAAGATGGTGCAGAAGTGATAAATTCATCGGTATTGCCTATAGGGCAGATGTTTGAAGACGCTCAAGAGTCTACTAATAAATACATTAAAAGTTTCGAGAAGCTTTTGCAAGAAAAGTTCCCGAGTGAAAACAATGGAAGACATTATTTTACGCTTATTATTAATATCCGATCCGTTTATTTCGAGTTTGTGCGAATTACCTCAAAAACACTCAAAGTTGTTGCTTCCAGAAGCAGTTTTATTGTTAGTTGCGCCACGTATACCAGCAAGTACGGGAAGCTCCAGCGATTTCAAAGTTGAATCATCTGACTGCAAATCAAATTATTCTTTGGATGACGATGCATGAACTTTTAATCAACTGATTGTATGTTTTATCGTATTAAACAATATATAGATTTATTTTGTAGTTTTCCTACAAAAGTGGTTCGTGTTAAATCCATCGTTTCGTTTTTATTTCAAATTTTGACTTCGTATTCGTAATTAGCGATCCCGAAAACCCTCGAGTACTGACTTTCAGCCAAATTAATAACGCTTTTGACTTTTGGCCAGCTTTTTGGGATTTGGCCCCACTGTGCGTCAGCCGAGCGCTTTGAGATATATGTGCTGAAATGGAGAACAATCATTTCGATACTGATCTATTTATTGATGAAATCTAAAAGAGACCAATCATCGTCAAATGATTTTATAGATATTTTAAAATAATTAAAAAACTTGGGTTCGTTTTGTCTTAGTTTTGGATACAACATCGCAAACATTCCATCTGTCAGTCTATCTCGTAATATTGGGTGCACCCAAAATTCTCTTTGCCTCTGCCATCGTCTTTTGTAGCGACGATGGAGGCGCACACAAGCAATTACTTTTACGTCCATTTCCAAACTGAGTCAGTGCGTACGCTCCAAAAACGCTCGTCCAACGCCGAGCTAACGCGCGTTTAAAAACGCCTAGTGTTTAAAAGAGCGTTTAAAAACGCTTTAAAAACACAGCCTAAAAGAACCAAGTTCTACTAACGCCTAGTGCGTACGCAGTCTAATAAGTAGGCTTATAAGAATTCGTACAAATTCGTACGCTACTATAGTCCGTGCAGCGAAAGAGTAGACATGAATCAGCCTGAACTAGTGAAGGGAAGAGTTTTACTTTTTCTACAAATTTTATTACTGTGATACATATGTCAATTCCTACGTGTCTCCTTCCAGCTCTTTCATCTGACATAGACACTTCCCGCTCAGAATGACTCATGTCCGCTCTTTCGCTGCGCGGACTGTAATACCATTAAAAATATTCAACGTAGACAACGCCTCGACCTCGTTCTCAAACAGAATACGTACTTAATGGACACCCCTTATTTTAGGCCTGTTCATTTCGCCCAGAAAGTGTACACTTTTACATCACACAGACGTCATTTTTTAAACTTGTTTATTGTTAAACCGAAGAGATGACGTCAAGTTGACGTTAAAGCGTACAATTTCTGGACGAAACGAATAGATCTTTTGAGTAATTATATGTAAGATTTACTTTGTCATTTTGATTATAGCACCGATAGAATCACCGATATTCAACAAAAATTTAAAGAAAAATAATTCAAATATTGAAATTCTATGAATTTAAGAAGAAATGCTTGAAATTCTTAAAATTTAAAAGATAGTTTATTATTTCTTAATTTATACCAAATTGCCTACTCCTCAATTAAAGCCTCTAGAATTGCAGTTTATATAAATTCATATTTATCCTACTTAATTAATAGTAGGAAAGAATGCACGATTGACTGCTTATGTCAGTGAATATTAATTAATCGGCGATTTTCATTCGTTTTGGAAAACTTTATTACTTGTTAACACGTACGAAAACACTATCAAGTTAAAAAGTGTTAGATGAACACTGGTACACATCACACTTAAAGGTCATATAGTAATATATTTTATGATAATTTATTCTACGTTGAAGTTAAAAAGTATTACAAGTTTCTACGTTAGAGGTCGTAATAAGCGGAGTGTTCGAAATATGGCGACAGGATTACAAGAAGTGATTGTTTATGATCGGCGGATAGGTGATGTTGCCGAGAAATTTATAGATGTAAATGAAGTCAAGACGTTTTCAGAGTTTAAACAGAAGTTGGAAAAGGTAATTTATAATGATGGATAAGATTGGAAGGATTACAAGCTTGATGTAAATCATAGTTATCCAATAAGATAGGCTTAAGAATTATGAACATGAGAAATGTGTACAATGTTTTAAAAACAAATATATTTATTCAGAAGGCATTGATCAAAAAAGTGTAAAAATTCAATATTTATATGAAGAATTTTTCAAAAAATTTTGCTAATTTTCAATCCATCCAACATTTAAAGTATTTAACATAAATGTTTGTAATGTTTACATGAATATTTGAACATTTATTACATGTCACATAACAGAATTACATAATAGAGCAAATTAATTGAATCAAGCTTGTACAACAGACATATACTTTATAATGCAAAGCAAAAATTTATCTTATTTAAATGATCTCTGGATGCAATTACATGCTTAACAAAATATAGCCAGAAAAATAAAAGCGAAACCTGACCAATATATTGGAGCTATGGCATGGGGTCTAAAAATGAGGATCATATCTATGATTCGGAAAGGTCTATCCACTATCGCATTGGCTGCTTTTGTCAGTGATAACGATGTCTGGGTCAAATTTGACAAAGACCGATTACTACAACATTGTGATGACCCTGTCAACCTGAATATCTTGAACAACTTGAAATGTTTAAAGCATTTAGGAGGGGGACAGCAATTACTTTTAAAGAAATGGACTGATTAGCAGTTGCGAAGAGGGCGTGCTTTGACGTGCCATAGAGCTTGGTCAGGTTTTGTTTTTATTATTCATATAAATTTTATTGATCTATGTGTGTCTAAAGTAGCATTGATAAGTTTGACATTTGACATATTAGCTTTACTTGTCGATTCTCTTTTGATAATTGTTTAAAGATTAAAGATTTTCTATTATGTTCATTTTGGGCAGTTTTCAGAACATTTTAATATATTAAATGAACCCTGATATTTATATTTAACAAATTCTGTATTAAAAATATGGTATTAATGTAAATAAATTAGATTGTTTGGCCTTAATTGTTTGTTTATTTATTCATTTATTCTTTCCATCTCACAAGGATCTTTTTTTTCCAGCCGGGCATGAGTTTAGGCCAAGTGCATAATGGCTTGGCTGGGTGGTGAGAGACATGTCTGACATATCCAGAACAGACCACCCCTTGAGAAATTCCTGGGTTTTTGACCCATCTGGATTTGTTATCGGGTCTCCACAGTGGTAGACTGACATCTTAACAGCTTGGCTGTCAAAACTCAAACTCAGGTTATATACCTCAAATAGTTTGAGATATATAACCTCAAACTATTTGTTAGATTTAATCATTGAAAGTATAAAAATAAATTTACTTAGCATATGATAAAATATTTATTTGATAAATTTGTCTCAATTAAGTTGCTTTTGATCAGTTATTTATCTTATCACCTGCAAATGACAGGAACAAAATACTTTGGAGAACTTTTATTTATGAATTAATGTCTACTGAATGATGTCATTCTTATTGTATTCTTTATCTACATTTGTATGTGTAAAAATGTGCCTAAAGAAGAAAATAGTGATCTGAATCAATATTATATACTAAGTGGTCCATTTTAATCAATCCACTGAAAGAACTTGAAAAATATACACATTCTATGAAAAAATCATCAAACCAAAAATGTTAGACTTCAAGTGGGCCACAAGATGAGATTATAATTTCATCATAGTGCTACAATCAGTGAAAAACACAGTCAACTTCATTTTCTTAAATGGAAACTCCTATTTTTCATTGCAAATTATGATTCTTCATAAAAAGAAAAACACTTTGCCTAAAAGATTTTTTCAAAGAATGCACTAATTGGAAGCTATGTGCATTTGAACTTTTACTTTTCTAGCTGTTATATATAACGAGGGAAAGTATGGTGATCAGTCAAAAATGACTCCTGAAAATTTTACAGTTTGGATTCAATACACCTTGAAATGTCAAAATGCAAAAAAATTTGGGGGTTTTCTGTATGTGTGGATGTTTGTATGGGGGGGGCACAATTTTGTTCACCCTCTTTGAAGATTATTAACTCGTACTTTTTGTTGAAAATTTCTGAAATTTTGCACGGTGGTTTGTTTATGAGGGGATTGATGCTATTAAGTGTATAATAAATAAATAAAGCCTACTTTGATCCATCATTATATCTGTCTATTAAGATTCCACCGTGTTTTTGTGCACTTAGGGACCTGCTATTTATGAGAGTGAATGACACATTTCTACATCAAAACATGCTGGAATTAGCTCACCTGGTTTGTTATGGTTCAGTGTTCCAATTCAACAGACGAACATATACGCAATCGAGGGATGACCCAATGGGCAGTTTGGAGACTTGTGTGAGTTGGTAGTGAGACAGCTAGAAGCCAGGACCTTACTGGGATTCATGAATGACATCGTGCTTTATGGATGATATGTGGATGATGATGATATCAATATTATATGGAAAACAACACTGAACTTAGCAAGATATGTGGAAGAGATGAATGATAATCCCTATGGTCTGTCATTCGAAGTAGATCAACACAGCTACTCTAATGTTCATTTCTTGGATATTGATATTAAAATCGGGACACCCAACATCCATATCACAGTATATCATAAACAGATCTGCAAACCTCATTCCGAGTGACTCATGTGACCCATTTCAATATAAAGTAGCCGCTTTTAGATTGTTGGTAAGAAGAGCATACACTCATTCATCCACTTGAGAGGCACTTGATAATGAGTTAAACCACATTGAGAGGATTGCTAATATTCACGACTACCACAATCTTATTCCAAAAATCTCGGACCGCTACAAAAGAACACTAATGAACCTCAACACACAGTTGAGGGCACGTGGTGGCAACCAAGATATAGATGTAGAAAGAATACTGATTACATACAACCTGGCCTTGAGATCCATTTACGCATCTATTGCCAAAAAATGTAAGATCAACATTGCATACAGGAGAACCCAACTGTATTTGACAGTTGCATAATGGAAAGGACCCATCTGACCCGAGTAAATTGCCAGGCATATACTGAATCCTGGTGAGAGATGTGAGATTCAGTAGGGATTTGATCTACATAGGATCAACGAAACTCTCGATGGGGACCAGAATTAAGGAACACAAAGCAGATACACAGTACAACAGAGCCACCACGTCACTTGCAATTTATGTGTCAGAACCGGGCATCAATATAGACTTTGCAGGTGCATCATTAATAGTCAAAACAACACACATGGAACACCTATAATGGCTAGAAGTGATAGAAATATATAAGGCACATACTACATCTACGTTCATTAACTCCAGAGAAGAAATGGCTCTTTTGATAGCTTAGCAAGCCTTATTATATAATGATTACTAAAGATTTAGTTGGTTTAGGAGGATGCACAAGGACATGTAACAGTCATAGTAAAAATAGTGCATCATATACGTATGAGAAGAGTAAATGCGATTCTGAATGATGGGGACACGACAGATACAATGCATGTGCAGTGGACATTGCACAATTGAATTATCATTTGATTTTGTTCTTTTTAAAATTGTGTAATGGTGTTTTAGAATAAGGAATCCAGCCATTTTACCTGAGGAAGGACACGGAAGGTGTTCGGAAAACATTTGTTTTTTCAAAGTTGTTTACTTTTGTATTTCTTCACACTGGTTACAGCAGGCATGGCCAACATATGGCCTGTCTAATGAATTTATATGGCCTGCAATTAATCTTTCAATATTAGCTACTCAAGTCCAAATAGCTCAATGAAAAATCCTGACAAAAAAAAAGGTCAACAACTCACTGTGCGTTTAGAGTTAACCCTACATTACAAATCTCATAAGTACAGCATAGAATGTTGATAAAGCATGATAATGTGAAAAATGTATCTGTAATCTCAATCTACAATTCAGTCTCTATGGGATGACACCACAATGAGATCTCACACCACCTCAAAATCTTCCTAGGACAACCTCTGGTTCGGCCTTTGGAAAAAGTTTTCTTTCCAATTCGGCCCGGGGGCAAAAACTGTTGGTCACCCCTGGGTTAGTGGCTCGAGTAAGTAGGTTTTATTTATTTATTATACGCATGTGCATGAAGAAGTTATATTTTTGATGTAAAATGATAGCAGATACCAATGTAATAATTTTTTAATATTATTATTTAATTTAAAAAATTTTTAGCTGTTTTTTTTTTTTCATTTTTTATGAGAAGTGATTTCAAAATATGAATATTATACTTATATATATTATACACATATACATATATACACATTGTCTATAATTAAAGTATACCACTTTAGATGCAAAATTTGGAAGCATTCTTTAGAATAGGTTGCTGGGAAAATGAAGACTATTGCTAGGATCATTGTAATTGCTCTAAAATTTGGTAATTCAAATGTAAATAAAAGTATCTTAATAATTTATCTATACTGACTTATCTTTGTTTTTTATATATATTATGCAAAAACGCTCCTCATAATCCAGAACAGAAATATGTAAATTGGTTGCAAAGATAATTCTTAATAATTTTGTTCAGAGTTAAAATATTTTGTTTCTAATAAAATAATTTCATCCAAATTTGTTTTTGAAAAAATATACAACTAAGTTTTATTACTTATAGTTTATAGAAAAATATGTTAATAAGTGTCATTTATTAACATATTTTTCTGTTACGCATTAAATAATATAAGTAAATTATTTTTATTAATTTATTCAATTAGCTATAATTGACAATTTATAATTTATTTTTTATAACTAAAAGTAAGATAGTAGTATTACATAATTTTAAGTAAGTTTTAATTAAAATGTTTTGGATAACCTGATTTCAAAATATCAATTATAAAAGATAAAGTATTGATTGCATAAAACAAACATTTCAGAATTCTACTTCAATTAAATAACATTTAAAAAATATATTTTATATATTTTTTAAATATGTTATTTAAAAATATTTTTTCCTCTTTATTTCTTTTCATTTAAGATCTATTATATTAACTCACATTTAAAAATTTAAGTGACAAACATTCTGTTTTACTATTAAAACACCTGTTTATAAAAAATTTTACAAACCATGTTTTGTTTGGAAGTTTTATTACATCAAACATTCATTTTTATAAATGATTGTAATTTATTTTCCATAATATACATTCATGTTTATCTGAAGAGAACTTGACAAGTGAAAAAAATTTAGTTATAATTAAAAATTTTTCTACACTTTGGTGTATTCTTTAATATTTTTGGCTTCAGTCTGTTTTTCTTATTTGTATTCATTGCACCTGGGAACAAATCAGTTATTCTGAGGAACTCATTGTTTTTACTCCATTATAATGATATTCTACTGTACTATGTATATTATGCCACATAAAAACTTATAAGATTGTGCTATAAACATGCACAACTGGATATGGTTAAGTCTTCTAGATGTCACATCGTATCACATTGAATTGAAAGTGGAAGTAAAAATATGAAAATTTCATATTATTTTGTGGTGCTACTGTGAGGAAGCTGTGGCTCCCTAGGTACTGCAGCGAACACTTTGGGAACTGTTGCAATAGCCCAAGACCTCTAGCAACATGTATTGTGCAAGGAACTGCCACACCAATATAGCAGCTTTTTGCATGTAATATGAAAACCAGTAGTAAATGTGATAATGCTTAATCAAAATAAAAAAAGAAAAGAATGAACAAGAACAAGTAGTATCCTAAGTTATGAACATAATGTGTTCCATCAAATAGTAGTAGTGTTGTGAGTTGACATTTCCTATATACTGTACAGTAGGACCCCCCTATAACACTGGTTCCTATAGTTCGGATTCCTATATCACGGCGAAAAAATTGCAACAGTATTCGTACAAACATGCTAAAAAAAACTCGTATAATTCGGTAAAACGTCATTGCCGACTCGTGTTGCGACAGGATTGGTTGAATCTAGACCAATAGCAGATATTGTACAAACCGTTGAGTTTAAACAAGCAGCAGATCTACTAAAAACCATTTATTATTTAACGTCCATAAAGATTATATTTATATTAATGATGTCTCCAAAGTTCAGCAAATTTTTTGCAAAAAAAAAAATAATTTATCAGAAAGCATGCGAGCGCCATTCGATGGAAAGCTCCATGACGAAAACAAGCTTAAGCAATGGCATAGTCAAACGGTGCACGCTCGGTAAGTAATCCTACAATTTTTTGTTTATAGCATAGTTTATATGGATTATTCCCAAAAAAATTATATGTATTTTGGAAATGTTGAGTCAAATTAGTCTAGAATTGATTAATTTTATGGAAGAAAACCTTTCAAACAGCCATAGTCTGTAAACTGCATACATGCCGGACTGTGATTGGCTGGACTCGTAGAAAATGGATTCATAAAAACTGGAATGTATCTACCGTGTTATAGGGGGGTTGACTGTATATATTTTTTTATTTAAAGTAACTTTCACCACATCAACAGTTTTTGAGCAATGACCGATATGGTTTCATGCCCCAGCATTTTGCAGAGGATGCCCTTGTTAAATTATGTAATATTTTACAGCAAGGAAAGAAGAGATTGATGTATCTGTCAATATTTCTATATATCAAAGATACATTTGATATGTGGTGGTCTTCAATTATAAAACTTTTCAGAGATACCAAAGTACCATAAAATATTTTATACTTGCTCAATGATTTCTTAAAAGACAGAACAGCTGAGCTTAAATTGGGTTTTGTTAAAAAAAACTTGCTTCCTAAATAAAGGCTGTCCTCAGGATTTGGTTTCTGGATCCCCTAATCTGAAATGTTATTATAAAAGACTTGCTAATGAAATTATTGGGTTATTTGTTTGTTGGTTATAAAATCACCTATCATTAAAAAATAATTAATTATTGATAATTTGTTAAAGTATTTTAAAACTCGGACATTTTTGGCCTTTGCTCGGAAACCCAGACATAGTGCAAAAATCGGACAGATGGCAACATTTGGAACAGACAAAATGTATTGGTGGGGATAGCTAAGTCAGATCATGGTAGGCAGGGGTTGTGTTGAAAATTTAAAAATATTGCCACCATTTTGCTAGTTTTTAATTTTTTTTGCCACTTTAAATTATTTATTGCCACCAGTTTTACTGACTAATTAATGTAGGTGCTGATAGCCTTATCAGTTTGGTAAGCAAAAGTAACATTAAATTGTGTGATACGCTTCTTGTCTAGTGTTGTGTTCAATTATACAACCACTAAGGTGACTTTTCTTTTTTGCTAGACTTATTATATCATCAGTAAAAAGGAGGACAAGCTTTAGAAAAATTTTTTATTTCAAACTTTGGCCTCCTTTTTACTGATGGTATAATAAGTCTAGTGAAAAAGAAAACCCACGTTAGCACTAGTATAATTGAAATCAAAAGTAACATGTTAAACTGTCACTTACGAGGAGAGGGCCAGATGTTTGGGTCTCTGATTCAAATGAAACTTGGTGAGCAGGTAGCCTTAAACATAAACAACTCGTCGTCCAAATAATAGGACCCATTTTTCAAGCATTTCCAAAAAATGGGCTCTGAATATTTTATGTTTAGCTCATAAGTTTTTGGAAATTTCATGTCCAACAGTGGTGATAGTCAAGTGAATAAGATGCTAAGCACTAGAGCTAATTGGCGGCGGTTCGATCCTTCGAAATTTTAGTTTACCTTTTTTTTTTATGTGTAATATTATTTTACTGTATTATTATTATTATTTCTTACATTTAAAGCTTATAAATTAAGAGATTAAAAATAAACAGGAAATGACTTCTGACATAATTTCCTGTCTATGGAAAATGAGCCTCTGTAGATTTAACTCTTTCATTATTAAATAAAATTTCCTTCATATTTATTTTTAGATTTGGTTGTATTGTGACATTCAAAGTGTAACTAAGATGAATGCATCAGGAAATTGTCCATAATATTAACAATTAAAAAAAAAAAATTTGTTAGCAATAGGAATTATTTTTGGAATAATTTTTTAATGAATAATTCTGATTAATGCATTTGATCACAATGTTTAGACTGTATTTCATAGGATCTGTCATGTCAAAATTTTTGTTTTAGTCAACTGAAAGAAGATCAAAGTGAAAAAAGTCATCTCAAAAAATTTCCCAAAATTTCTGTCAGTTGATAAAAAATCACAATCCGGAAACACTGAGCAAGGCCACTTGATCGCTTCGCTAGTAAGGCCATCCGCCAACTATCTCCCTCTATGGAACCGAGCGTATAGACGCTAGTTAATATTTTCTCCGCTTGTGGCGCTGACGATCGGTGACATCCATCGTCAGCGATTCAGGTGGAGAGTATAGAGGAGTTTGGAGACGTCGCTGCATTTAAATATTTTTCTCATTAAAGCAGGTTGAAAACTTTTGACAATCAAGAAATGAGCTGCTGCAAACGATGTTCCCTAGTTTGTGAAAAAAGCGAAATAATAATAACAGTATTTTTCACTTTATTTTCATAAGACGTTTTTAGGAAGAAATAATAACTGAGTATTATTGGCATGGAAAATACAAACTTTTTCACATTAATACTATTTAATCATCTCTTTTCGATTCTTAAAGATACCAGTAGTTAATCGTTAATGTAAATTTTTTTTTACTCGAAAAGTATGCAAAATTAGTAAAACTAGGTTACCTACAGTATGCACTGTCTACTATAAAAATTTTCACATTTTCGGACCATATATGATAATTATTAAAATGTTGTGTATTAAATCTGTTATAAAATTATTACTTTTGTTAATCAAGACTGTAAGAATAAATACCGATATAACCTTTCGAAAAAATTTGCTTTTTTTTTTGCAAAAATAAGCAAAGTTTTTAGTTAGTAAAAAAATTTCGAAAAATATGCACGGAAATATGTGATATTGAAGTTACCTTCAATATCACCATATTTACGAACTTATTATAATTAATATTGGAGAAGTACACAGAAATGTGAACAAAAGCAACATATATTGTTTTAAAGTTGAAATTAAAAGTATAACTATGGTAAAAGTAACATTGCTTCAGTTTACATCTCTAATATAAATAAAATTCTTTATAGAAAAAGCAAAAGCTTATTACATAAGAAAAATTAATTTATTGAATAAAGTGTACACTGTTTTTGACTGAATTTTACAGTTTGTAAAATTCAGTCAAAGACCAGAAATGTACTTAGCTTCCTCCTCATCAGAAATTTACAATATGAATTAGACAACATTAGACTTTTAATATTTTTCCAGAAATGGGCTTATGATGCAGTCTGAGAACTTTTTCCACAGTTTGACCACACAATGAATGTATTTATATCTATATACCAAGCTGCTGTTGAAGAGAAATCCCGTCAACCGTATATAACTCACGAATAAGTATAACTAAATACAACTATAACTGTATGTAATTATCACAATTTCATAAAATAGCTATACTCACACACAAAAGTACAAAACGACCAATTTACTCAACAGACGATTCTCACCGATAACTAGCGCCAAAATCTTTCGCAGCGGCAAAAAATGGAAACAGTGTGAATACGGCAATTTTCCTTACGGCGGACGGCCTTACTAGCGAAGCGATCAAGTGGCCTTGCACTGAGCAACATTGCACAAAACTGCTTTTGGTTCATGACTTCACTTCTTTCTTTTCTTCCCTAACTTGCCATGTAACATTATGAAATTGCTAGATGTGTAGTGCATGGGACTCCCATTGTATGGAAGCTCCACATTTTGCTATTTTTCCTGAAGTGTAATTTGCGATTCAATTTTACACTGAATATCAACAAGCAGATTAGGATTTTATCACCACTTGCTTTTGTCAGTATTATATTTTTATTACCAGTTTAATAAAAATATTGCCAAGTGGCAATTTTGGCACTAAGCAACCTGACCGCTGGGTAGGGGTAGAAATATATGACAGTTGTATTTGTGGTTTGTTTTATTGTGAGATGGTCATAACCTGGGATACACTTGTATTAAATTTTATTCTTCTTTACGTTGAAACTTTTAACATATTTGAGTCTGATATGGCTATTTTCTATTTTGTCCACTGGCCAACTGCTTGTGACTTATTTCATTAATGAAAATTAAGACTATACAAAATAAATTTTGAGTCCTTTTTGCCTATTAATATCCTTTTATTCCAGTCCACAAACCACAAAAACAGCCAGTGATGTGAAGTAACACTTCCACGAATAACCAATGAACACACTCAAAATACTTACAAAATTAAAAATGATCACAACGTCAACCCTTTATTGTAGGCTACGACATCTACACACTAAAAAAATTGTTAAAATTCTTTACGACAGCATTCATGTTATAAAATCGCATTTCAGCTGAGAGTCCTCTGGTGGATTTCGGGCATCCTAAGATTAATTTACATAATTGTACATAGAAGCCCAGTAAGCTGTTTTTGTGGTTCCTGGACTGGAATAAAAGGATATTAATAGGCAAAAAGGACTCAAAATTTATTTTGTATAGTCTTAATTTTCATTAATGAAATTAGTCAAAATAATCCTGTGCTTCTATGTACAATTGTGTGCTTGTGACTTTTTTACATTGTCTACTTTTAAACTTGTATGAGGAGTGGGGTTGGCATAGTGAGGGGCAGAAGAATGTTAGTATGGGAAATACTACTCCTTGCCTTCCTATGTGCCTCATTCCTGATATGTTATATATGTTCAGAAATTTTTTAAATTAAGATACATTGATTTGTGATGAGAGAGTTGTTTTAAATAACTGTTTTGATCTGATCAGGTATAGCATTTGGCTTTGATATAAACTAAGCTAAGTGTTAAATTTACATCATAATCATAATTATGATTTAATTTTTCAGAGTAAATTCTTTATCTTTATAAAACCATTCTTGCTTGTTTCCTATTAGCAAAGTTGCTAATAGGAAACAAGCAAGAATGGTTTTAAAAAGAGCCCCAAATTTATATAAGATATTGGGGAATGATAAGGATAGAATAAAAACAGAAGAAAACCCAGGTGTCTATAAAGTTCCTTATGAGAACATCCAACTAGATGTTAAGAAAGACTACATTGGCGTCACCAACAGGAGCTTAGGAGTAAGACTAAAAGAACATTGTTATAACGTAAAAAAAGGATCCAATGCTACGGTTTTGTCGCAAATGTCGCAAGTCCAAGGTTCGGTGGTAAAATGGGACGAGGCAACAATTATAAAACCAGTATCTTCCCCCACTTTATCAATGACGGCGGAGAAGATTGAAATATATAGGAGTAGGCTACGCGAGAGAGGTTTAAATGCAAGAGATGCTGAGAGCCTTTCGTCGGCGTGGAAATACATGATTAAAAAGTTCACTGAAAACTGAAAGTTCACTGAAAACTCAAGCTAGAATTAGTTTATTGGAAGATTTATTATATTTTTTTTATTTTTTAGTTTATTTTGTGTTATTTTTATATATTCTTCCGTTTCTCTTGTATATTTTTTAAAATTTTTGTTTTAGATTTTGATTTAAATACAGTGGAACCTCGGTATACGACCTTAATCCGTTCCTGGTGTTTGGACCTATAGGCAAGCGCCAAATCCGACAGAGGGCGCTGTTTTGAGCCAAGATGGCTGCCGAAACAGGTAAGGAACCGACCACGTGTTTGTTCAGTGCATGAACCGATTCAGTTTCTATCGGTGACGACTACTGCGAGGACCAAATGGAGAACAAATCATTGAATTTATGTCAAATTCTAGACTATATTGGCGACAGGAAACGTTGTCTCGTAGAAGGTGAAGCCGTTTTGGATGCTGGACACATCATATTTTGTGGATTAAACTCTAACAACAACACCGAAGTTCACGTTGTTGCTTCAGTGCTGCAATCTCAGATATTGGCATTTTAATTTTAATACATCTCAATTACAGGGAGAATGCACGTGCAAAGCGGGGCTGTCTGGTTTTTGTAAACACGTGATAGCGTGTTTATTACACGTTAACAGGTGAGAAGTATTTAAATATTTTAAGCAGTATACACCATGTTCCAATATAAAAACATAGTTTTATTTATCATAATAGTTAAAATTAGTGCCAATCTGAAGGCTGCCCTGCTGAGTCATTCAGCACTTATACAACATAGGCCAGTCAAAAGTTTGTAGCACACGTTTTGTGTGTGCACGTCTCATATATCCAAAACGGCTTCACCTTCTACAAGACAACATTTCCTGTCGCCGATATAGTCTAAAATTTGACATAAATTCAATGATTTGTTCTCCATTTGGTCTTCACAGTAGTCGTCACCGATAGAATCTAAATCGTCTCAGGCACTGAACAAACACGTGGTTGGTTCCTTACCTGTTTTGGCAGCCATCTTGGCTCAAAACCAGCGCCATCTGTCGGATTTGGCGCTTGCCAATACCAAACCAACCTTTTCCATAAGAAGTAATGTAAAAATGATTAATCCGTTCTCATGTAAAAAAAAATGGCTGGCTTTAAACACCTCGCTTTCCTTACTAGTTTCTGCTTGATTTTTCATGAGATCAGTATGTATCCTTTTAACTTTCTCGCAAATAATTTCTTCTGATACACTGTCGCTGGCACACTGTTTTTCAGTTATCCAAATAAACAGCAATTTCTCGACATGATCTAATGTCTTCGATCTCTGTTTAGAAATTGATTTAACCCCTTTCGCAATGTTAGCAAATTTAATAATGTCTTTATTTTTCACGATTGTCGATATCGTTCTCGGAATACGGAATGCAACAGTTAAATCTCTAACACGCGTGCCACCTTCATATTTCTCAACAATCTCTTTTTTCAGTTCCGTTGTGATTCTAGTCACTTTTTTATTTTTCATTTGCCCTTTTGCAATTCATGATTAATAAAAATAATAAAATTTTACTTACAAATTAAAATCAGAAGAAATTTAACAAAGTTATAAACCGTAGCACCGCGAATGTCTAGTCTGGTGTAGTACACCGATAGCGCTACTTGTTCATAGATGGCGCGTATAATTAAATTAAGTCGTATACCGAGCAAAATTTGTTTCGTCCAAACAGGACGTTTTCCGAATTGGACGTATTCTAAAGCAGACGTATACAGTACTGAGGTTCCACTGTATTTATATTCTGTACATGGAACGTATCTGTTCCATTTTCGTTTTTTAGACCTGATGATGGCCTGTTAATCAGGTTGAAAACGTTAGTTTTCTAATTATATTTCTCAGCAACAAATTAAGGTGTTTTAATTTCTGTGTTTACTTGCTGAACACTTTTAATGTTATGGTCAAACTATAATTGAAATTATTGGATTCAATTTATTTAAATTATTAAATAGTGAAATTTATATTTTTGGGAGCTCTGGAGTGGGTTTACTACATGGTTCTAATTTCTCAATAAATAATGTTTCCCAGATGAATAAACAATTGTGGTCCTCACATTGTACGAGGATGGAAGATTCATTCCACAGGGATGTAAAGTAAGATTGAGAACCCTTCTAGATAGATCTGTGGAAATTTTATTTTTACAAATGTTATCTTGATGTTCTGATATTCGGTTTTGCAATTTTCTATTTGTGGCCCCAATATATATCATTTTTCATTATTGTTTTGTGTTGTAAGATAATTACGTATATACCTGATTTTTCTAATGTAGTTAATTTGTCCCTACCATTACATAGTATTCTGCATAAGGATAGCTGTGGTTTTATTGGAAGGTTAAATCCTGTTTTTTGAAATCTTCTGGTAATGTGTAAGGACAAAGACCCAAGACATGGAATGGAAGGGCTTATATAAATGTGATTTTATATAATTGCTTTTATTATTTCTAATTTTGACGGTGGGAAGAGGAATTTTTGCACATTGGTATGAATGCACTTGAATTTTGCATAAGTGTATTCTGTGGTATGCATTGCCATATTTATAAATTGTAACTCTTTTTGTACCAAATGTTGCAGTGATGGTAATATGTAGGCTTTACAAATAAATGAAGCTATCATGTTGTTTATGCAGCTAGGTGGTTGGAATGAAGTGGTAAGCATAAAGTGAATATATAGATTAAACTTGTGATATACCTTGAAACAAACTCCTTTGGATGAGATATTTTCTGTTTATTTTTTGTGGTTTACTCATCAAAACTTTATTAATGCCGAAAGACAGTGATCTTAAAGTTTTATCTGAGTTAAATTCAAAATAATAATTATTAATATTTTAAAATGTTAGTTATTCAAGAAAACTGATGAACCTAATTTGATAATTTCTGCTTATAAAAGCTCTTAAGCTTTTTACAAGAATCTTGACTAATAAATTTGATACATACTTTACTAATACTAATTTATTAATATGAGAGACTTGATCTATTTTTTTAATACTTGATCTAATGCCATTTAGCAAGTTATAAATACCAAATAATCAATGAAAAAATTATAAAACATGCAAATTCCTGTTATTAAAAAAATGATTGTGAGAAGCTTAACACAGTTCTTATGACATCTTCACATGGTTCTTAATTTTTGATAAAGATTATTTTGCAAGCAAGACAAATTTAATCTATATACAGTTATACCTTACGTCGGTAATTGGTTCCAGGAGAGGCGACGTAAGTCGAATTTACTTATCTCCGAATCTACTTGTCACTAGGCTAAACCATAAATTACCATTCCCAGTTCTGTATTTTATTTATTAATGCATTTTTAATAATATATGGTTAATAAGGATCTATTTTAAACTTACCAACAAATAAATTTTAGTTTTTAATATAGTACAGAAAAAAGTAATCTAAATTTACGAATGCATATACTGTAAATACAGTACATACTTGTAAATATTTTTTAATATGATTTTATGTGCTTTAAACGCTTTTCTAGTGATATTACGACTTTAATATTTGTGGCGGGCAGACGTAAAGTCAAATAAAATGATTTAAACTTGATTTTTATTTTTCCATATAGTTTTTTGACAAACGACGTATAAACGGGAACGACGTAACTCGAAACGACGTAAGTCGAGGTATACCTGTATATAAAATTGCTTGTCCTGACTGACTGACTCACTCACTGATTCATCATCACCCAGAGCAAACTGCTGAACCTAAAGAGGTGAAATTTGGTACACAGAGTACGTCATGAAAACGCACACTAAGAAGGGATTTTTCGAAATTCCCTCGCGGGGGGAGAGGGAGAGGATTAAGGTTTAACCGGAAAAATGGCTTCTACTGTGCTATTTTAGTTGCGATTTTTTGTTTTTATCTGACTTTTAGTAGGGTATGCCATGGCAATGCACACTAAGAAGGGATTTTTTTGAAATTCCCCCGCGGGGGAGAGGGAGAGGATTAAGGCTTAACCTGAAGAACGTACTATTTTATTTTACTGCTGTACTATTTTAGATGCGATTTTTTTGTTTTCAACTACGTTTAGTCTTCATTGAGTACTTAGGTGTATTAAATTGATAACATTTCAGATATTGTTATAAATATTTTTATATATT